TTTAATTTAAGTGGAGAGTTTTCTTGAAGACTTGCGTTACGTTGTAACGGTGTTGAGTTTCGAAGGTTTGGATAAATCAGAATTGCAGAGGCAGCGCAGTGACCTATAATACACAATAGGTTTATGGCTTAGTTACATGTGTGAGGATTAAAATAAAAGCAAGATTTTTTTTTTTTCAGTTAGGTAAACAAAAGGTCTACAAGAAATACAAATCAGACGAAAAACTTCCCAACTTTGCAGATTTTACGCGACATGACATAACATAAAAAAGCCATTTTTGTAAATCATATTTTAAAGAAAAAACTTTTTAACCGGATTAAAGTTATGTATTATTATAAATTTACAATTATTTAACACCGTGACCACGTACGCTGTAAAGCACGCGAAACGTCGGTTAAATTTAAAAATATGTTAAATAATTGTAAATTTATAATAATACATAACTTTAATCCGGTTAAAAAGTTTTTTCTTTAAATGTGTAAAGGTTATGTCAATCAAAGACAATACTAAATCATATTTTTTTTTAATTTACTGAATTCGATTCTATTTATTTTTAATACTTTTGAATTTATTTATTTAATTATACGTTCTAAAACAATGTGTATGCCTAAAAAATACAAGAAAATATGACATCACAAATTAAGCACACATACACATGAAACAACCACAAAATAAAAACTAATTTATAGAAATTAATAATAAACTAAATAGATAAAAATAACAATAATAACTAAAACTAAATGAAAACTTAAACCTCATTAAGAATAGAATAGAAGCTCCTTGAATTTCACTGTCTTTCTTTGTGAATAATGGCTTTAACATTTTTCATTTTGTAATGTATAAGAAATGTTAATTTTAAAGTATAGTAAGAGTACCTTCTTTAGCAGCGGCTAGCCATAGCCAGTCATTAACTGATTTCAGAATTTCAGCTGAGGAATGGTATAAAGTCAATGACTCTCCCACTAGACCAGATTGTAGGGTCAAATCTGCAAGGTTTTTTGTCACCCTCCCCATACATCTCTTTTTATTATTGCGTGATTCCATATCAAGACCTGAATGAAATATACCTTTTGTAGTTATTTATGGAGTTGAATAAAAATGAATAAGTTTCCTATTAAGAATTTTTGAATATATAACATATAATTTTTTTAGCTGTTGTAAGGGGAATCTAGGGTAAGATAAGAGTCGAGACATAGGTCCATATTTTAATTCGTATATCATGTCAATCTCCTGTTGAGTGCTGTCAGATATGTCAAATTCATACAGAAAAAATGCTTTGACAGCTTTTGAAACTAGATTTATGTTTGATTGACATTCTAGAGTATGACTGGCGTATATCAAAGTCCAATAAGTTCCTAATATACTCCTCTTAAAACCATGAGTACATGTTTGTCAAAAGTAGCTTCTGTTTTGTAGAAAATAGTATATTTCATTACAAGTGCGGAAAGCCTGTCATTGCAAAGAGTTTCGACAAATGTCTACCCAAGCCGAGGCGCAGCCGAAGGTGAGGGTTGACAGTCGGAACAAGTTGCAATGACGGTTCCGCACGTGTACTGAACAACTATTTTTAATACAGTTGCGAAAAAATTATGCAATTTAATTAAATAATAAAAACACAATAAACTCAACTAACTAATCTCTTATAAAAATTATTGTTCACATATACATACATTGGTACAGTTTTTTATACTAACTAGAGAAGTTTTAGGTTGCATATTTATTTACTGTTTGAGACAAACTATTATTAATTTCGTATGATTGTTCATGTATATTTAATATATAATATAACAAACAACTAAACGCGCAAAGAACATTTATGGAAAATGGCGCCAACCGTAAAAGAATATAAGCAGATTTTTTTTTTCTTCACCCATTCTGGGTAGGCAAAGGGAACTATGCCCATACAGCCAAGTCTTCAGTACAATTTTTATTGATATGAAATGAAATTTAATGAGATGAAATGAAATCTAACCTAACTCATTGAATTGAATCAAATCATTAAATATGATATTGAAACAAAGCAGTAGCTTCTTTTTAGAAATATTTGCATGAATCATAAAAATTTCTATGAATTTTTTTTAGTAAAAACTTCGTGGTTGGTTTTTTCTTTTTAATAGACATTATTTTGACAGTTGGGAAAGAAAACGCACTAGTTCGGAAAAGGTAATAAAAAAAGCACGAGTGTGTATAGCCCACATCCCAAACGCTATACGTCCCTGCAATACGCCACTTTTTGAGCAACTGTATTAAAAAGTACATTTTACACATTGCCACAGAAGTAAAGAAGTGTGTTTGCAATATGCAGGAAGCAGTTACTATTCATCCTCTCTTTAACTCTATATACATACCACTTTAAATTGAAATATGAATGAATAAAATGAATGGGTAATGCCTAGATTTTATATTAATTCTAGTCGACTTAATTCTTAATTCAAATGTATAATAATAATAAAAATGCAGTGGCGCCTCTGAATCAGAAAATGGGTCTTGGCCTTAGATTGAATCCATTTCTTCAATCATTTATATTTTATAGACATGTAGGTGATATGGCTGACATATTAATAATGTATATCAAAAAAAAAATTGATTTTGGGTGACTGAAAATTCTATTGGTGTCATGATTTATATACACCTCTAGTATTAAGATGTCATACTTAAGCCAACTCTGATGTTTAATAATGTATGACATACAGTTAAAAAATTGCCTGTAGTTAAGGACTAATTATGTTATTGTATATAGCACAATCATGCTAAATGAGTATTGCTGTAATTCATATTATAATATACCTGATAGAAATAATAAACATACCAACAAAGTCACGCTTCTCAAATGGCGCTAATAATAAAGAGACCTTTTCTAATTTCTCCTTAGACCTTTCCAATCGCTTAGACTCGACAACCCAAAACAGGGAATTAATCAAATCTGCAACGTGTTGCTCCAAGTCAAGTACTGGATCATTTTCCCCATAAAACATAGCATGGGTTTTAAAATTGGATGGTGTTGTAAAGTTCTCTTCTGGCAAAGAGTATGAGGCTGATGATGAAGATCTCGGAAAGCTGTCTGTTGATGATAAGCTATCTATTTGCTCACTTGGTAATGAGATTCTGAAAATATAAAAGGATCTTATAACATTATTATTGTTTTTTTTTTATTATAATTTTTATACAGATAGTAATTTGTCAAAATATAGTAGGTATATATATATTATAGAACATAGCTAATTCTAGACTTAGACAATTATGTAAAAAATTGTAGTTTAAATTTTAACTGCTTTTACAATAAGACTGCCCATAAACATCCTTAGTCTTTTTTTACTGTTTTTTTTGTTCCTGCTTTTTGTATTATTGTAATGTTAATAAAGTGTTATTATTATTATACAATTTAAAACCTATTAACAGTTACTTCATCAGATAGACAAGGATTTAACTATCAAGTGTTTTTTTACTTTGTTTCTAATTATAAAGGTAATATATCTAATTATCTAGTAAAGGTAAATGGTAAATCCTTGTCAGTCAGTCCAATGTCTTTAGCATCATCTCACTCACTTATCACTGAAGGTTGATTTTTCTTTAGCCACTTTATCATCATCTAAACCAACACTGTATGTTTCTGGTTCTTGTTCTGGTTTTTTCAAATTATTCCCAGGACCAAACATAAAAGCTCTGGAGTCATATAAAGTGTTTGTATATTTCACTTTAAGTGATTCATGAACTCTGCATACTTCATTTAGCTCAACCTGGTTTGTAAATTTGCTTATTGATATCAGTCCAAGTAGACGTCTGCAATTTGATATTATTAATTTAATTAAAATTTCATACTAGTTATTTCTGTGTATAGTTATAAAATTTTACCTATGAGTTTGAAAATCACCCCAATCATTGTTTTCAACTGGATAATCTCGTACATATCTAACCCAAATATCTCTCACTTGTCCATTTGAATCTGAAATGTTTCCAATGCATATAATGGCAAACAAAATATTAATTTCATCGAAAATAAATATTCATTTTAAATATAGCAAATCTCAAAACTAGCTACAAATTCATTGCCTTTAACAACCGAATGGATAATGTAAACACACATATTATATAACATATGAAAACAAAAATAAAACTTGGACTTATTATAAATTATTTTTTATATGGTACCTGTAACTTTGATGTTATTTATTTTCTGTATACGCTCCCATAGTTTATTAAAATTTTTGAGTACGCCCCCAATACCTTTGACCAGCACCAAAAGGCATGCATGGTGCTGTATCTCCTGTGTGTAGTCCGGGTGCGACATCACCGACTCCCCGGGCGCGTGCGATAATATATAGCTTACCGATGAGCGCATTGAAATTGTTAGAACAATCGACGTTCCACTACTTTTAACAAGGCCATTTAAAAAGTTTCACCTTATAAGGAATTTTTTAATAACGGTATAAATTAGTAGATTAGTACAAAATGGTATCTGTATCACACACTAGTAACTATTAACATATTTTACCAATTATGGTGACATATTAATAAGTTATTAGTTTTGGGACCATTATAAAGCTATTTGTTGTTGTTTTTTTTCCTTTTTTTTATTTATCAAAGGAGATTTGAGCCTTGAGGTGTCTACTTTTACTTGACATCTCATTACTATTGAGTATTGACGTATTATTATATACATTATATTGACAAACTTTTGTCAATTAGGAATCCATCACAATAAACATTTAACCTATAATTCATATAATTTATTCTGTTATGTACATGTACTCTTATTTCCTTATTCTTAATTTTTTATCAAATAATATAATTACGTGTAAACTTTTTTAAAACTTCAAATAATTAAAGTTCCTTGACTTAGTAGTTAGTTGTCAACTGCTGTTAATTGTCAACTTGTCAAGTCTAGTAAGTTACTAAAATCTAAGTTGCTTTTGCGGTAAACGAAATAATAACCTTAAACTTTGTTTTTATAGAAACTGTAAATAGAAAAACAGATAGATACTTTATACGCTAATAATATAATGGCGTCAAAGGATGGCAATGAAAAGGCTAAGGTATAAAACATCTTGTAAACGTTTGTGCTATGTTTGAAATCTGTTTTAATTTTGTATGCTCCCTTACTTCAGGGTGCACAAGGTGCTGGAGATAATAAAGAGAAGCGCCGAAAGGAGTCTATATTAGACTTAAGTAAATATTTAGAGAAGAGCATTAGGGTTAAATTTGCTGGGGGAAGAGAAGCAGCTGGAATCCTAAAAGGCTATGATCCATTATTAAATCTAGTGTTAGACAATACTACAGAATACTTAAGAGGTGAGTACAGTAATATGCAATAATAGTACTAGTAATAAGTAATAACTAATATTTTGATAGATTGTTGGAAACTTAGTGCCAGTATCTTGATTTAATATAATTATTTCATCATATAAATGGTCTTAAAAGAGTTAATCTACTCAATAATTTTACAGCTACTTTATTGGTAAGGTGAGATATTTGTTTAAAATGTAATAATGTAATACTAGCTCCCTTAAAAGTCATGTAAGCTTACAAAGTTTATTATTTTCTATATTTTCAATTAAAGATTCACCCTATTTAAACACAAAAAAAATTTATCAACACTTTTATTTTCAGATCCTGATGACCCCTACAAATTACTTGATGATACCAGAGCATTAGGACTTGTGGTATGTCGTGGTACATCTGTTGTTTTAATATGTCCTATGGAAGGCATGGAGGCAATACCCAATCCTTTCATAGCTCAGGAGTAATGTTAATTCGTAGTATTAAGTAAATTTTTATTTAAGTTCTCAAATAAAAGGCATTTTTCATACATTTTCTATGTTTATCTATTTTAAGTTGCATAAAGCGTAACCAATATAATTCCAAATTTATATCCTTTTAAAATATAATATATCTTTTATATATAAATCAAATATAGTCAACAATTTTAAGAAATTTTCATAATGTAAATTACATAAAAAAAGTCATATTCTTGACCTAATTTCAAACATAAATACTAAATTGAACTTGTAAGTATATTAGTTATTACTATATACTAATAAGCCATTATTACCCTGGATTTTTATAGAAAATCTTTTTGTTTTATAGTATGAATCTTTTAATCTAAAAACATGTATCAGTCATTAAACTAAATATTCTAAATTCAAATAATACTTATAAATAAGTTGGTAACTATAGATTTATATTGACAATTAACTATTATTCAAAGCCAAATTCATTTCGTATCCAGGGATAGCTTTTGGGACAATCAACACAAGTGATCATATATTTGTCTTGTTCTAGAACTTTTGAGGGTAGTTTACATGTATTTGGTTTATTGCAAGCGATTTCGGACTCTTGGAACCGTCGGTTTTTACATTGCCATGGTTGGAATTTCTTTAATTGCAATACGGGTGTTGGTCGCTTCATCCAATCAATTACTTCACGGTATGTGACAAAGTACACGTCCGGTAGCCTGAGCAGTTCGTCAGTGAATTTCTGTAAGTTGAATTAAAATATAATTGACATGTTTAATTTAATTTAACTTGCCTTAAGCTATATTTGTAAGCTTTAGTCTTCAATCGAAATCAAAGTCCAGGGTTGGAGGCCAGCAAGACAATAATAATAACGGCTGAAAGAACAGGCTAAAATCTATTGCAAAAAAGTAAATGTAAATAAATAATTTAACATACTTTAAGTGCCAAAAGATATTCGTTATTCTTTAGCCACGTCGAGTTCAAATGGATACCAAACGGTGCTCTGTTCTTCAGATAGTGTCTTTTGAAATTCTCCATCAGTACATTATACACGTCTTCACCACTGAGTGTGGAGGGACAGTACTCGAGGGTAGCGCAGGTATGGTCGCCATTTTTAAGTGGATTTATCACCATCTCCCATATACCAGCGTAACTCCGCGTCGGGCAATATTGATTGTTACCTGTAAAAAAGAAATGAATTAAATTATGAAACTTGTGATGGATGTGGAACTCATGTTTATCTATTAATTTAAGAAAAAACGGAGCTATAATACAAATTATTAGGATACAAACCAATCTTAACATTAAAGTGCGATTATAAAAAATAAAAGAGCAGTGTTGGCCTAGTGGCTTCAGCGTGCGACTCTCATACCTGAGGTCGTAGGTTCGATCCCCGGCTGTACACCAATGGCTGTACATTCTTTCTTTGTGCGCATTTAACATTTGCTCGAATGGTGAAGGAAAACATCGTGAGGAAACCGACATGTCTTATACCCATAAGTGACGTCAGGCACATAAGGCTGACCACCTACTTGCCTATTAGATTTAAAATGATCATGAAACAGATTCAGAAATCTGAGGCCTAGACCTAAAGAGGTTGTAGCGCCACTGATTGATTTTTTTTTTTAAATAAAAGTATCTAGTTAGGTACCTATACATCAAACTATCCCTCAAAATACGCATATATATATATACAGTCAAAACCGTTTATAACGACATCGTTTACAACGACCTATCGGTTATTACAACCAGCTTGTATGGACCCGTCCGAATCCCTAGTAAACTATTCAGTAAACAAACCGCTTATAACAACATCGGATACAGCGACATATCGCTTACAACGACGAAATTTTATCGATATTCACCGGCTATAACGACCAACCGCTTCTTGTCTCAGCAAAACAAAACAATACAAACGATTTGAAATCTTATTTATAAGCATTGAATGAATATTAGGCATATTATTACCTACGCACTTTCCCCGGCCTCATCCGAACCTCTTCCCGGACATTTGACCTTGCATACTTTACACATGATTAGTTCGCTAATTGACTGCGTGAGTAACAGTTTGATTTAAAAGTGTTGGTGTTGTTTAGACTGTGCAATTGAGCATTTATGTGTTATTATGTCGCAAAAAAAGAGAAAAGTGTTTTCTATTGAATAAAAATCTCATGTCATATGGATAAAATGCAAAAAATATTTGAGACTGGGCTAAAAAAACAGACCAAAATGACATTACTTTTGTACCTAATTATTTCGTAATAAATATTTTTGTTTCTTGTTTGACTCCTTTACATATTATAATATTAACATACCATGTTATAACCCATACCTACCTATTCTAGATAGATAACTATGTACATACATATGTACTGTACTTGTGTATATGATATTGCTTATAACGACTATCGGATATAACGTCGGCAACTATACGGTCCCTTCAATGTCGTTATAAACGGTTTTGACTGTATATATATAAACAAATGTATCAGCGTTTATTAACCTAAGTTCTTATGTGGGGTATTTTGGTTTTAAATTATTTTTCAAGGTTCCTTCAACTATTAAAATATATCTATAATCTATAGGCACAGATGGGTCTTTGACAGTCTTTGAATTCTATTCGTATTTTAAACTTAATAGACTTTCTATTTGTTTTGATTGAGGTTGTTTTACTTATAAAATCTTATTACGAAAAAGTTATAATAGTACTGAAATGGAGACATAAATTACTTTTGGAACGTATTATGTGAATCACAACGTTCTCGTACATTTTGCGCAATATTGTCAAGATAGCATTACAAAGATGTCAAACGATTTTGCCAACAATACCTTCTCGATCTTGCACAATTTCTCACGCTACAGTTATTAACTAGTTGTATCTTAAAATTGTGAATATAGGGCCATTATCATTAAATCTCTATTCATGGAATTTTAAATCGAGTATTTCTGAGATATATCACAAATTGAATGTTGTCAACGCTTTTGTAAAGGTATAGTAATTTAGAAATTACGTAGTTGGTCCCAAAGTTCTGTCACTGGCACATTATTTCTAAATTTCGAGCAGGATTTTATAAAAAAGTTATTGCATTCTATTTTGGAATGTTTGACTATTGTTTTAAAATAAAAAACAATAACTTTCAGTAATTTTTCACGACGGAGTGGACATTGAAAGAAGACCGAATAGTTGTTATTGTGTTGCACCGCTGTGGGCACTCGCCGAGTACCATTTTCAAGTTGCTCAAAAATTTTAATATAACGCTTAGGTTTATGTACGGTACTGTTGATAGGTACCTTGAAGTCTCCAGTGTTGAGGACAAGAAAAGAACTGGCCGGCCACGCTCCGCAAGAACACCAGCAGTAATCAAAGCTATCAAAGCGCGGATAGTAAGAAATTCTGTCCGAAAACAGAAGTTGATGGCTTTGCAGATGGGTGTCAGTAGGAAAACAATAAAAAAGAATTTTAAATGAAGATCTTGGTCTACGAGCATACAAAAAAAAAGTGGGAACTTACTTAATGCTCGTCTAAAAGCAATAAGGCTTAAGAGATCGCGGGTGTTGTTTAAGCGGTACGCGAAAAACCGACACCGTGATATCCTCTTTACGGACGAAAAAATTTCGATATTGAAGAGAAGTACGTCAATAAACAGATTGATACAGTGTACGCTAGGAGTTCTGAAGAAGCTAAAAATAAAGTTCCAAAGGTGCAACATGGACATCATCCATCATCAGTAATGGTCTGGTTGGGAGTGTCCTATTACGGGCTAACTGAGGTTCATTTTTGCAAAAAGGGGGTCAAAACCAGAGCTAAAGTGTACCGAGAGACTGTTTTGGATCGCCTTGTCAAAGACCTGTCCAGCACCCTATTTGCGGGACATCACTTCGTGTACCAGCAGTACTCTGAGCCTGCATACAAAGCCAAGACCACTAAAGCCTGGTTTGAGCGTCAAAACATCGATTTAATTAGACATGAGGATTGGCCTTCCTCCAGTCCGGACCTTAATCCTTTGGACTATAAATTTTGGCAGGTCTTAGAGAGGAAGGTCTGTGATACACCCCATAAAAATTTGGAGAGTCTGCAGTCGTCTTTAAAAAACTCAGTCACTGAAATCGACATGAATATGGTGCGTGCTGCGATAAACGACTGGCCGCGGCGCTTAAGGGCCTGTATTAAAAATAAGGGAGGACATTTCGAATAAGTTTATGCTATTTCTATTCCTTAATTAATGTACTATGAATTGATATATCACTCATTAAAAACTGATCAGTACTTTTGTTTTTATGATTATTTCCATTCATGACAGAACTTTGGGACCGACTACGTATAGTTACCGATTTAAGTTGCTATATTATTAAGGGTAAAAAAATCCAATACATTATTGACGGACGCAAGTCTTATTATTTTACGCTTAGTGTTAAGTAAACGGGCTCCTATCGACATTTTATTTATGTATGCATACAAATTTGATTCGCATTGAATACTTGTTTTAGCCTAGTGGTTAAGCTAAGCGTGCTATTCTCAACCCTGATGTCATGACATGTCATGTCCTCCCATAGACAGAACACTTGATTGTACGGCGAAGGTAAAAACAGCAAGGCATGTCTTACCCTAAGATTCAGAGTCGAGACTTAGCGCCAATCATGATTCCCGTATTTCAAAAACGTGTTGTATTTTGACATTCGAAAGTCGAAAAATCGAGATGACGCAGAACACTGATCTGTGATAACCTGCTTAAAGGTAAATATGCTAATAATAATAATTAATTATGCCCCACAATTCATAGAAATATATGGACTCACCCGTACACTGATGCGGCATTTTATGATCCAAAGTGTAAGGCCAAAATGGCGGGTCCACAAGCGGTGCTACAACAGTAGCGTCATATACGAAACCAAATTCTTGCATCATCAAGAATTGTCTGTTCCAACCGACGGACAGATACGGCACGCGCATTCCTCTGAAAATTACACCTCGTTTGTGGTTTGTTGTTGTTGGTAATATTATTACGTGTTAGTATACGAAGAGATGGTATCGGCTAAGTGACTTCAAGTTTTTATGTTTAACGCGAAACAATATTTTTCATGTAATTTATGATAATATAGTCTATTGGTTGGTATGACCAAATTAAGACAATTAAGGGTCTCAACAACGTCTGAGACAAGCTGAGGATAGACTGGTGTGGAGGCAGCAAGTCGACGTATCGCTTAGGGCTTTTCAAGACAGCCACCTTCAGTACTGAAGACTACGAAGAAGAGTCTATCGTTGTAAGAGAAATGTTATATTATAAAAAAATACGGGTTGCACTCCGGGAGTGCCGGCCGAAGTGAAAACTTGAATATTTACGTTGCGCATTTTTGATATTTTGGAATGGTTAGGGAATAATTTTGCACGAATTGCTTTAATTATCATTTATGTGGTAGAATACAATATTTATTTATTGCGCTATCGTACACAAACATGACAATTTATATTACATTAAATACGCCGCGCCAGCTGTCTAATCTCCATCCGTCTTACGAAACCTTCACAAAATAATTAAAATTAGTATTAAATAATTCAATTATTGATTTAATTTTATTGAATTAAGTACTGACTTAAGGTCCAATCCATACGCATCATTGTATCTGAGGAAAGAGACAAATGAATTAAAATCGTAACTATATAGCACGAAGGTTCATAATCCTTTAATAAAACATCCGTCTTACGAATTTGTACTGACGCGAGTTTAACATTTTTTACCCATTCCAAAAAGTGTACAACGCCGCTAAAGAAGTTTTCAGTTCAAAAACATACACCATCGTGAGTTAGCGAAAACGTTGCACCTGCCGGTGAAATTATTAATTCGATCTGTATGCCAAAGCGTTCAGGTTTTAAAATTCGGGTATTTAAATTCCTGACGCCTTTAGATAAAATAAGACTTTCATACAAATATTTGGTGCATACCTATTTTACGTTAATGTTTAATACTTTGCCAAAATTGCCGTAGAAAATATTTGATGTGGATGTGGATGGTGTTCCTCCAACCGAAGGAGATGATCCTCGACCAGTTTAACTACTGACTGGCAGGCCCGAAGGCTCCAGTGACTGAGCTCGAGATGTTATATCTATCTATATTATCAAACTCAAACTCAAAATAACTTTATTCATATAGGTAAACAAGTACACTTATGAACGTCAGAAAAGAAGTTAAATTAATTGTAAATTTACATTTACTACCAGTTCGCAAGTCAAATGCGAGCGGGCAAGAAGAACTGGCAAGAAACTTTCCGCCACTCTTTTTAATCGCTAAGTTTTGAGTCATACAAATTGTTTGAACTGGAGCAAATCAATCCCAAGGATTAGGATCATTTAAATATTCGTCGAATTTATAAAAAGTTTTATTTATACGTTTTACGAGGGCTTTGAATTGATTAAGTGATAATTCTCTAATTTCGTTTGGGAGTTTGTTGTAAAAACCAATACAATTTCCATATATATAAGGAGTGGTTTAAGTGCCTCAAATTAGTAAATTAGTTCTGTTTCGAATACTGGTGAAAGTCACCATTTTTTTAAAATCGTTTATCCTTAGAGGCCGGAATAAGTTCGTTAGCGCGTTTCAGGGTATGACGTCATCGTAGTGATTTGTACGCGCAGAGTATTATATAGTTACCTGAATTCCTCCATCCAAACTCTACCAAATTTGTTGATGATGTTAGCTTGGCCGACCATTTCGTCAAACCAGTCCTCAATAGTTGCGTTTTTTGACCACCATTCTTCAGGACCACGGTGTCTACGCAACAATTATATTTAATTTATATCACACATTATAAATCACTTGACATTAACTGAGTGGTTTACTAGAATACTTTTAAAGTTATAATCAACGTTTTTTATTCAATTTTCGGTTGACAAAATTAAGATCGGAATCGAATTAAAAATTCCCTATTAAGCATAATATAAAGTCACAAGAAATAGAAAGGAATGATTGATGAGTGATTTACGACTTACGTTATCGAATGAACGGCGATTTCATGATCATCATTCCATAGTTTTTGCACGTGACGATAGTTGGTGTATGGATGTGATATGAAGAAAGTGGCCTTAATGGGACATCCATTAGGGTTTTTGCGCTCCGATGTTAGAATTTGCTTCGCGTAAATATCCCAGTTCTCGTGATTAACGGGTCCGTCAAACGTCAGAGTTATCATCTGGGGTGTCTGGAAATTATATTCATGCACTAGCATATCGTTTCAGAACATAAACCTTATGTTTTGAGGTCCAGTCTTACTTGACTTAGTTCAGACGACCTAGATATAAAGGTGGAGACTGACCAACGTTACGAGGTGTAATGTAACACGTTATACAGCGAGCATTCGTGCGAGAAACGAGCCGCTCGTTGCTCGCTTTGAGTGCTCCACCCGGCTGTCGGTTTTTGGCGAATCCTTTGACTGTTACGCGGTTCAGTCAGGACGCGTCGCACGTCACGAGTTATCATGATTATGATTTTCTATAAATTGTGTCTTTTTAAAGTACTTTTGGTCCAATTAAATTCAACAGTTCTTCAAAATCGAAACATGCGTAAAAAGTTTTTATACTGTCCAGTAATCGTTTGGTTTTTTATATTGCAATCAATAAAAAACACCTCATACGCCTGTGTTTTTAAATAAGTTTGATGTCCAGTAACATTTTTTCTTCTTCTTCTTAATTTGGATGAAACTATAATTAAATAGATTGAAAGATATCAACACGTCCTCGCTGTCGGCCATCTCCTGAACACTGGCGGCGAAAGCGGAGCACAGAGTTTTGACGAGCATGTTACGCCGATTTTAAAACACAGCGTAACATGCTCGATGCGTGACACGCTCAAAGCGAATGCTACATTACACCTCGTAACTTTGGTAGTTCCCACCTTAATAGACGCGATTTGGAACTTTAGCTACCTACTATTATAATGATAGTATAAAATGTTGGGCAGTAAGAAATTTATCAGAATTGCATTAAAAAGTGACCAGTTATTTTAGTTAAGTATAGTATTTACATTATTCTTAACCAGCATAGTAAATAATAGTAATAATCATTAATAATTGATAAATCGAAAATTAAAACAAGTTCAAAAAGTTCGGTCCCTTGGCAGTGTAGCTTAGTGTGTACGCCTAGTGCACAGGCGCTAATTAAAGATTTAAGTTGGCGCTAATTAAAGATAGATAATACCGGTGACCCCAGAGCTGGTGATTTCCTCGCTCAACGAATAAGTTTCGCAATACAGCGAGGAAATGCTGCCAGCATTAAAGGTGCCACACGGACCAAAATTTTTAAATTTGTTATAATTTCTATTTATAAATTAAAAATAATATTATTTTAAAAGTGTCGAAAATTAATACAAATTATAAATGTTTAAATTTATTTCTTCGATAATAAAAACACGTCGCATGTTAATTTACAATTGGTCATTTGAGATTTCAATAAATTATTTTGCATAAAATACATACTAATTACTAATATGTACATATATCTATTTCATAAATTTTCTTTACGAAATTTTAATTTAAAAAATAGAATTTTTATACGGTAACTCGCCCTTCTCACTCTCTCTCAAGTTCTCTCTTTTCTTCGACAAAAACGCTGCACATCTTCGTGACGCATCCGTAATAATTTTACCCTCATACGCCTAAAGAAGTTTCACTTCAAAAATGACTAAAAACAACTGCAACCAACGACTCTTGCAAACATTCGCGCTGAGATATATAACTTACTTGGCTTTGAATTAGATTTCCCGGTGTCGCGTTGCCATATTTGGTACAGAAACAGTTAGGTAGCTGACACAATCCTGGGTCGCAGGGCAGTGCCGCGTTCGGGTCGTAATTTACGTCGCACCAACCCTGAAACCAAAATGTAGGATTTTATTATAGTAGTTTATGCAACTGTCATATAATAGAGGGTATTAAAACATGAGTGTAGTTCAAATAAGATTACACGAGTGTTTTAATACCGAATTATATGCAGTTGCATACACTACTTTATTTAATCTCATGGCTATAGGTAGCTACATTAAATAAAATGTAATATAAAAGAAACAAAAGTCTGTTATTGGTCTATTGGCTTGAATTATAACCTCCTCCGGGACACATTGTACTTTAATAATTAAAAAAATATTTTAAAGCATTGTTTTGTTAGGAAAATAATGCTTTAATTATTTAATTTTTTAATTTTCTTAAAGAAGTATGTAAATAAAATATGCTAATAAAAGCCTGTATTTCATTTCATAATTAGAATATTACCGAATGAGATTATATAAAACTATTTATGCAATTAGCTCAAACAATTTAAATTATAATAAATTTTCTACTGATTCACATAAAAATGTAACTAGAAAGTACACCCTACTGGCTGATGAAATACAGTTCTCAGTATCAGTGTATAGTAGCCTGGGATCTAAGTAATTTATCTATGGCAGGTAAATAGTATTATTGTGCTTAAGGATTTAAGATCTGCTCATGAATCCTGAAGTAGATTTAGTACGTTCTAGAAGAAGAGAAGGTGACGAACACCCAAAACCGACGTGCGTATGAGGGAAGCGATATATAAGGATCAAGCAAGTCTGTGTCTTTGGTCTCTACCTGATTTGTAAGACATGAGTATTTTTCTAACTATAACGTATAAGGACGATTTTATATTAATTATTCCTATTAAAACACCAAAATATTGTCGGTAATTGAACCCGTCAGACACCTTAATAGTCCAACGATAATATATCAACGATATTGAATCATTAGAAAAAGTATATAATTACTATTACAACCAGTCAAAAGTTATTTGTATTCAATACTTTCACTATAACGCCCTCTTGTCATACACGTAATATATGCCTAATGTCGGCTTATATAAGCTAAAGGCTATTATATAATTTGTTCAATTATATGTAATACATAATGTATTCTTTCATTATAATAATCACCTTTGGTTATGGAAAAATTTATAGTTGGATATATTTAAAAGGACCTTTTTGACTGTTGTATTGGACGTAGGGTTATACCGTGTTCAATACACTTGCTACGCCCGGGAACTGATGTCCCGGTTAAGAAACACAGTTAAACAGCCGTTCCTTGTTATAAATCGATAAGGTCAATGGTATACAAATAATACAAAATTTATTGAATCCTGTTTAAGTTAACTTTTGCTATATCCAGTATTTATATATTATTATTATCGTCATCATATATATCATTTCAAGGGGTTTTTATTCGATATTAAGGGGATTTAAATACCCCTTAATATCGAATAAAAACCCCTAAACTTTTTGTGGTACACTCAGTTTGAGACGTAATTTCAAATATGATTAAAAATATGTTCAAGTAGTATAAAATAGCTTAGCTTTTTGATATTTCATTTATAGACAGTATAGGCACATCTGAAATTTTTATTTGGATTAGTTAATATAAGTTGTAAAAAAATCAAGAAATTTTTTTCTTCAAAAAATTGCACCCTAGAAACTCCTGGACATCTTGACTTCCTCTAAACTTAGAGGAATAAACCTCCAAGTTGGCATCACTGGCGGCATTTGCATCTTTTTTCATTACATAGAAAACAATCAAGGCAGGCGCAATAAAATAATATAATCAAAACAAACGTTGTGCCACTAATTACGGGACGTCACCAATAAAATAGTAACCCAATTATTATTTTGCACTTGAAAAGGTTGCATGTGTATAAATATTTCCTTCCTATAACAAAAACATCGGAAGTTATAGATTGTAAATAAACACGAGGTGAAAGTAAAATTAACAAAACCAGTTATGTAAATTAGTGTCTTAGAGAAATGATATACTTTTACCGGTACCCCATAAAATATTGCTTTTTTAATCGACTTGATATTGGAGGTTGAATATTTGTTTCATTTCAAGTTAGCAACTAGAAGTATATTCTATAGTAAAACCACTACTCAGGTTATCTTTTGCTTAACTGGACATAAGTTGACCTTCACATTGGGTGCCTAAATACTTATAATGTACTCATAAAAATTACTACTTGATTAAACTATTCTGCCTTTGAGACCGAAGGGATCCCACAATCACAGATACACATATTAGTCCTTACATATGAAATTGGCGTTTTGTATGGGAGGAACAAAAAGTCGAATATTTTTAAATATAATATATTTAATTAATCAAAGTATGAACCATTGTTTTCTATGCACTTTTGCCATCTCATAGGTAGTTCATTGATCCCTTTACTAAAAAAACCAGTCGGACGGGAATAAATAAAATCTGTGAAGGCGATTTGGACTGCCCCATCAGAGTTAAATTTTTTCCCTTGCAAGAAGTTGTCCAAATTTCGAAAAAAATGGTGATCTGTTGGAGCAAGGTCCGGGGAGTACGGAGGATGTCTTAGACATTCCAATTAAAGCTCTTCTAATTTGGTAGCCGTCTGTTGTGCAGTGTGCGGTCTAGCGTTGTCGTGAAGTAGTAGTGGCGTGGAGAAATTGACCAGCCTAGATTGTTTAGCCGCTAGCTTTTCCATCATGGTTTGCAATTGCTGACAATAGACATCAGCCGTAATAGTCTGGCCAGATTTGAGAAAACTGCAATGAACAATACCGGCACTAGTCCACCAAACTAACTAACGTAACTTTTTTGGGGTTAATTTTCGCTTGGGGCAGGATTTGGCTGGCTGGCCAGGATCCAACCATTGCACTGAGCGCTTCCGATTATCGTTAAGAATCCATTTTTCATCACAGGTAATGATTCGGTTTAAAATACCTTCATTATTGTGCCGGTTCAGTAATGTAACGCAGCAGTCGACGCGCGTTTGCCGGTTTGCTTCAGTCAATTCGTGAGGTACCCATCATTCAAGCTTTTTTAATCTTCCCAATTTGCTTCAAGTGAATTAAAACAGTTTTATCACTAATACCGCAGCCTGCAGCTAACTCGGACGTGGTTTGCGATGGATCCGCTTCCACAATAGCCTTCAATACTTCATTATCAACTTGGGTCTCAGGCCGTCCACGGGGCTTGTTCTGCAGGTCGAAATTTCCAGAACGAAAACGTTGGAACCAAAAACGAACTGTGTTTTCTTTTGCAACATGACCGCCATACACATCATTCACCCTTCGAGTCATTTCCGCAGCACTAGTACCACGGTGGAACTCGTACTCGTAAATAATGCGATACTTTAAGTTTTCCATTTTGTAAAATGAGTGACGCAAACAGAAAAAGCAGAAGAAAAAAACAAATGAATGACGGTCATCGAAGCACAAATAAATGAGTAAATAGCTGTACAAATTTGAATTTGGAATTCCTTACCAAAGAGGAGAACATCATGATTAAAGTGGCCAGTACGAAATACGCCAATTTCATATGTAAGGACCTAATATTTAGTTTATTTTAATAATTTCATGACCTATACATGACTACAGAATATATTAGAATCGAATTTAACTTAAGATAACGTAAACTAAAAATATAACAAAAAGGTACGTAGATACACTGTTACAAAATAAACTATTTCATTTTACAATATTGCCAGTTTGTTCCAGCTGAAATAGTAGTATAGTCTATACTTACCTACTTTATTATTAAAACATAAACAGTTGTGATCTTTCGATTAAGTTCTACCTACTATATGAAACTGTGAAAGTCTTTTTTAAATGTTATTATAGTGAAATGCTGAATAATTTCTCAGTTAATAAAAACATCTTACCTCATCTGAGTAATCAGAACAATCGTTGGCTCCATCACAAAAGTATTCTGCAGGTATGCAGGTTTCATCTGAGCAGCCAAGGTGTGTCTCGTTGGCACATTTCGCTGAATCTAACAGGGGTTTTGGCACCAGGGTTTCTAAAAAGTCAATGGTACAGAAGCGAAAAGTTGCGTTGATTTGGAAAAACAACCAATCATTTAATTAAAAGTAATGAACGAGTATCGTAATGGCGTATCAACTCAAAGACGTTTGAAGATGAATCAGGGTTTAATTTTGGATCTCAGGTGGTAAGTTTATTGAAGTGTTAAAGTAAGGAAAAATAGACGTTGATACTACTTTGTGTATTGGAAGATAAAAAATGAGAAATAAAAAAAACCCATAAATATAAATAAATCTAATTACACACTTAACTAAAGTTATATTACTTCTTTCTGTCATTAAATATAGTTAAAACAGAGTGATAATAACTGGCTTATTAATTTTTCTAGGAATAAGCCAGTCAAAGTACAACCTGTTAGTCGGTAACGGTTCCAAATACACGTTTTGAAAATTACCTGTAGTGAGATCACAATTGTGTACATTCTGGTACATATCACAGAGTTGGCGGTTGACATCAAAGAGGAGACCCTTCGAGCATCGAAATTCGAATACTTCATTTTCTAAGCATAGGTAATATTTTGAGCACTCCTCAGCATTCCACATAGTGTCCTCATCTCGATCGGGGTTCCTTGAATATTATGTTAATATGAAAAACACGTCTTGCTCTGTTAGCTTAGCTTTTGAGAGATATAATAGTCTATATTGGAGGCTTTGCTTGCTCGCGCACTTAAAAAAGGGGTTAAAAAAGTTTCTAGAACTTAAGGAGGCTTAAGGATCAATGCCCGATTTAGTAGTCTCTTAGATAGTTGTAAGTCGAATTTTCCAATAAATAATTTATTGTGAACCCAAATCAAGTATATATTCTGTTCTTTTATTATTGAAGTTTCTATTGTGTGTTTGTGTTTGGAGGCCCAGGGCATCCGTAAATCCGAAACTAATGTTAATGAGTCAGTAAGTACAAGCAATAATGGTCAGAACTCAGAAGGAAAGCAAGCACTGATGTTGATTTTAGATTTAACATTATTACTATTAATGAACAGAAGTATAATTATTTCGATATATTCTGTTAATAATCTAACTAATAAGTTTATAAATTAAATTTGTTTTATAAGTTTATTTGATGTTGGGGCGAGTTTAAGTCAAATGACGAAGGCAGTGTATAAATAAGCGAAAGTAAATTTCTCGCAACGCGACAGGAAATTCAATATAGTGACGTACCGTGTGAAATATGATCGTTGGGTCTTTTGGCAGATCAAAATGTTTTAATTCTTTTCAGGTATTTTAAGGTACAAGGTCTTACATATAAAAAAACAATATTGGCCTAAAAAGTACAACCTTTTAGGCCTTAGATTTTTGTATCTGTTTCGTGGTTTATTTTTCGGGTGTATTATTAAGTCGTGTTGGTTTGTAAGGCGCAGGCGAACACTGCGATCCTGATTGGATTACATGTGCACACTACAATGTCATATTTTTGTTAATTTTAAATTGAATATATGCACATATATTTGTATCATTAAGTGCTTCATCGTGCCCAATAACTACGTCTATTGCATATAGCGAGAGATGTGTCAAAAAAGATGCGCAAAAAGCCAAGCTCAAGGTTGGCGAAAGTGTAGGTCAACACCCGCTTATAATGGCGGGAAATGTACAAATGCATTTGTTTGTTTTATATCAGTAATCAGTGTCGCGTGACTTCTTGCGTGCTCTTAATATTTACGGAACTGTATTATACTTGATTATTTTTACATACACGATGATAGTAATTATAGTTGAATTAATTATTTTTTCGGCTTTAAATAGAGTATTTTGCAAAGCTATTAATGACATTTGTTATAACGCACAGTTTAATAAACGGAAGGAACTCATTGTTTATTGTTATTGATGATAAATAAATAACACGATTTAATGAACGAAAAAAGGATACAATTATTGTTTATTTTTTAAACAAAATCAGTAATTTAGTGCATATTATAGGTGCAAGAACTGATTCGTGAGCGGTTCATAAATCGCGTAAGTTTTATCTAATCATTACTTAACTTTAATAATGTGAATATTTTAAGTTATGTATAAAAAGTTTACAACGGCGATATGGTTATGTAAGGTTATTAAAGAAATACAATTATACTTTCATAAGTAAATTATGCAGCTAGAAAGTATTTATAATCTAGTATTTTTTTAATGAAAACATTATACCTAAATGTAATACTGTTAACTCGAAAATATAATAAACATATTTGATAGGTATAATTTATTTTTATGTTTGTGTGTCTAATATTATATTTTATTATCACTTATAAATAAGGTAATAAAACCATCGAAGCATATTGTAGTCCGTTGTCTTAAAATTTAAGATGTTAATCAAAAAAATTCCAAACCACTTGCCTGTAAAACCTTCCATTTTCATGGCATTTAATATCCTGAAAACTCCTTTTATGCACATGTTTTCCCTGAGTTCCTAAAATAAAAAAAATATATCACGTTCACCGTTCACTTTAATAACAAAACACCATCATATTAATGTTAGTTACCTATAAATATAAATGTTACGGCTAAACTAAAATAGAATCGAGAGAGCCGACAAGCCATGTTGTAGGCACAGCTTCTCTTGTAATACTGAATCATTGACAGCAACTTACCAGTTACCACTAACTTTCTATCAAATCAAATTGGAGAATGTTTAAAATTGTTTTAAATGATATGATTTTCGGAGAATCAGGCCTTCTATAGGGTCCAGGACTTTTTTATCTGTGAATAGTGAAGTTTTTTTAAACAATTAAGTCAGAAAAATAATCACGCTAAACTTTCCTCTTCTGTTCAGTTCGCTCAGTCGATGTTCATCATGATTGATACAGTAATAAGAGTTTTTTTATTTATAATTACTTAGGGTGAGATTCCGAAAGAGACTAATGCCCGAGTTATACGAGGCTAGTTTTTCAAGCTAGAATAGCAAGCTAGTACTTCTGGCTTCGTGTTGACAAAACTAGCTTCATTTCTGAGCCAGTAAGCTAGTAAGCTAGTTTACAAGCCAGGATAGTTTATAATAGGATGGAGTTCTATTTTTTAGGATAGTAGCGCCCCCCACCACTGATTTTAATATCCTGGCTTGTGTACTAGTCAAGTAGTGGGTCCGCGAAAAAGGGTTTTTAAAAACTTAAAGTTAAAATGAATACAACCGGTCCGATTTGAGGTCCGTTTAATACTGTATATTACAAGCGTTCTATTATATTTATATCCTATTCTTACAGGCCTACGTTGTGCTGACACATTGTTCTCACGCTCTACAAGGAAACGTTACTTAGTAAGAACTAAGAGTGGTTCGTAAATCATGTAACAGCATTTCGGCTATTGAAATATAAAGGATCTTTGTACTACTATGTTGCAATGGTTTTGTTTATATAAAATATAATTATGGTGGTGACACACGAGGTTATATAACTCCTCCCTCCTTAAGAGCGAAATTATCAGGGGATTGCACATGCAAATTCTGATTATTTCGCCACTGCAACATATTACTAATCTTATTTTTTATAAAAAACACAACAATTAGCAAAATACAATAAAAGAGTGCCTAAACTAATGCTTTTCACTTTCACTGAATTGCCCATTTCACTATCACTATCTCTGTTAAGTTGTTACAGCATGTAAGACATGTGTTACCGGTCACTGAGCTCCATTCCTTGTAAGTTTACTGGATTCTGATTTTCCTTAGAGTTCACTGTTGACTGTAACTCCAGCAGCTTAATGGATGGGATACGTTCTGATGACATATTTTCTGTATATGAACGCTGATGATGTAATTGGATGTCATTGATGTTGAGATCGCAGGGTTAATCTATAGTAATGATATATTATGTTCCCTTTATAGAGTTTCGGCTTATCTCATTTTTGCAATTATTTGAATAATGATTTGATTACTATTATTGTACCTTTACCTCTTCTATAATTACTGTATTCTGGTCACAGTTGGATGGGTTTTCCTTGAAGGTCATCAGCTCCTCAATGCATGTCGTTTCAGGATACGGTGCCCCTGTTTTCTTGTGTGCAGAGATAATTTTCCTCAGAGACTTGTTTGCAAGGCTGTATAAGCGGTAAGTATGTTACACCTTTCACCAGGATATAGGGATATTAGGGTTAGGTTTTTAGGGTCATGAAAGATAGGTAAGGGATACATTTTATTACTATAAGTTGAATTGGTTATTAAAGCTACCTCTAATACAAAAGTTATTTTCCTGTCTATCATGTATGATTTAACATTAATCGTATCTTCTAATTTAACTAAATTATCCCAAGTGGGTGGATACATAAGATTTTCTGACTGTGATATATAAATTAAAATCTGTAATAAATGTGTAAAACATTGGTTTTGGTGAAAGCCAAAGCAATTTCTAATTCGCTTATTTTTTATATAAAGCGTTCTAAAATTACTTACAAAAAGATTATATAAACTTAAAACATATGTAGAGTATACTGCATTATTTTCTTTAGTACTTATGTCTTTTAACATTTTTTTTTCTACACGTTTTAGTCTTTCGTCCATAATTTTTGAGTTATTGTGTAATATTTCTGATGAATTAATGAGTCCATCTAACATTTTGAAAACAACTGTTAAACGCTTGTTTGTGGAAATTTTGTTGATTACCTAATTGATTTATTAACTGTTCATATCGTTGAGCATCTTCCTGATCTAAGTTTCCAGTTATCATTTTAATAATAGAGCCTAGAGGGTTCAATATTCCTCTTCGTACTCGGTGTGAAGGGATTATTTGCCTAATCTTTTCAGTAGTTATTCTTTGCAAATACTCTACTTGTTCCCTAATTCCTAAAAAATTCTTTAAACTAAGGCTTATCATCACTTACTATCTTACTAAAATTACTATATTTCCTATTGTTATATTCTAATTCCATTAGTAGGCCATTCAAATCTAATACCTTAAAAATAAGCCAGTTATCCTGTTTGATGAAGGATGTTCCCTGTCTTACGGATCCCTGAATTGTTTTCAACCTTTTGAAGTTGAAGGCCCAAGCTGGGGCTCGTGAGTGTCATCGTGATCACTAAGCACCACCTTTGGAGGTCGTTTTATGTTTTTAATTGGTACCTTTTTGTGTTTACCTCTAATTTTAATAGGGATGGTGTTTCTTTCAGGTTTTCCTGTAACTATGGCCTTTTCAAAACAAGGTTTGTACTTACTTCTACGAGTGTTTATTAATTTTGTGAAAATTGTTTTCCCTTCTGGTAACGGGACGTCGGATTCGCCACCGCGTTTTTCTCTAGAGTTTTCCTTAAACGTTAACATTTTATCAGATATGATTTTGTATAAAACTTTTATTCTTTTGGCGTGATCTTTAATTAATTTTTGCAAGTATCGTTTCTCGAAGTCTATATTGAATGCGTTTTCAGAATCTACATGGCCAAACACTACTTCAAACGGTGTTAAAGTTGTTACAGTATAAATCGCATTATTATATGCCATGATGAGTGATATAATAGATGCGGCGTCGGTACATTGTTGTTCGTATTTTGTCAGTCTGTAAATTTCAATTAAGGTGCAATGAACACGTTTAACTATTCCCATTGAATTAGGGTTCCTAGGTGTGTCGATATGTATTTGGATTTTATAGAGTGACATCATTTCTTTCAATAGATCGTTGTTGAATTCAGTACCAGAGTCGCAGCTTATTTTCTTAGGTATGCCGTAAAATGAAAAGTATTTTATTAGTGCGCGGATAACGTCAAGTGTGCCTTTTATAGTAATTTCAATTGCCTGTCTTAGTTTGCTAAAAGCGTAAACTAAGGTGAGGTATGTTTTTCCTTCGATACTAAATATATCTATAAATAATTCCTGGAATGGGGCATCTTGCGTTAGAGTTAACTGTAAATATGGTTTCAAAGGCTTTCGGTCATATTTCATTTGTTTACAGGCTTCACAAGAATTAATTACTGCTGATATAGTTTCTTTCATGTTATTCCAAAAGAAGTGTCGCCTGATGCGTGTAAAAGTTTCTTGAATACCTCTGTGACAGGTTTTCCCGAGATGAAATTTCAGAATAACGGCTTTCTGTTCATTTTCATCGTCAATAAAAACTATTCTTTCCGTACACTCAAAAAATTGAATTGATCCACCTTTAAAAAGCCTAATTACCATGTTGCTGAATTGTTTGCGATGTTCCGTATTTTCGAAATATATAAAATATTTCTTTTTGGGTTTTATGTATTCTTTCAGGAATTGTTTGATTAAATAATTACACAATTACTCAATAATTTTAGCTCACAGAATTTGATGTGAATCTAAACTTATACTTACTTTAGGGGTTGCAGAATTTCATGCACTAACCTACTTACTTCTATGTTTCTTTAATTTACTTATTACAATTTACGTTTATATATGAATTTAACTCTAACAAAGTCTTAAAACTATCGTTAAGATGAGAGATGTCGATCTCAAAATAACAAAAGAAAAGTGGAGAGGGCTGGATTTGAAAGGTGAAAAGGTGACTTACCAGTACATCGCTGCCTCAACACTCGCACAAAACACCCTTAACGCTTTTGGATTGGCGTTCTTGACAAATTTATTTGTTCTTTTGAATAGCCGTTTTTAGCAATCGCGACGTAGTTTCCCCTTTTTAGGTAAGCAGAATTTGATGCTCGAACCGATAATTGAGAAGTACGTGCAGCTAGAGCGACTATCCTGTCCTCAGCGCCAGTCAAGTAGTGGGTCCGCGAAAAAGGGTTTTTTAAAACTTAAAGTTAAAATGAATACAACCGGTCCGATTTGAGGTCCGTTTAATACTGTATATTACAAGCGTTCTATTATATTTATATCCTATTCTTACAGGCCTACGTTGTGCTGACACATTGTTCTCACGCTCTACAAGGAAACGTTACTTAGTAAGAACTAAGAGTGGTTCGTAAATCATGTAACAGCATTTCGGCTATTGAAATATAAAGGATCTTTGTACTACTATGTTGCAATGGTTTTGTTTATATAAAATATAATTATGGTGGTGACACACGAGGTTATATAACTAGCTTTATGTGGCCGGAGAAGATAGTTTTCGGTTGGCTAGTAAGCAGGAACCACGCGTTTCGTTTCTTTTTGTCACCGCGACGTGTTTTTGAGATTTTAAGATGCCCAAACTAAGTATGGATATTAATTTACTCAACAGAATATCAAACAAATCAGGCGTCAATCGCAAAATACTCTTCTAAATCTTCATTGCGAAATTCTTCCAATAGTAAAGCAGATGATCCACATTCATTTCTTCTTAAAATCCACGGTCTTGTCCACACCCGTTTTAGTAACTCTTCTTCTAGTTCGTCTAGTGTGAATCGGCACAGCTTTCGAAGTAACTCATTCAGTCGATAAGGTTTTTTTGGCATGCGCCATGCGATGATTTTGGACGTGTGGTCCGTGGTGTGTGTCACCTCAGTCACTGCAATAGTAAAAAAAATCTTAATAAAATTTTAAGGTTATAATTGAACGGTGAGAATATTAATTACTGATTCATTTAATTATGATATTAATTTATACCTAATGGGAAAGGCTTTTATTCATTTAAATACTTAATGACATTTCCATTTCAAACATAATAATATGTTCAAGCACAAGGTTTTGGTACTCTGTGATCTTGAATCTTTACTCTTTGCTCTGTGTCCTCAGTCCTGTGGACAATGCGTTGTATTTCCGGCGACCGGCTATTTTTTTGCCGGTGATAATATAAATATCAATATTATTAAATCTTAATAATTAAACTAATAGTTATTAAGTTATCTATCTGTTATCCGTAATACTTTGTGCAAGTATTCACTGCATTAAAATGAAATGCTTATCAACAATCATACAAGTTCTGGTTATGTTAAGTGTGTGTTTTGCTACTTTATCACCACCAGCCGATAAAAAGTCCCAAAAAGGGGTTAAACCTCAAGATGGTCCACGAAAAAACAATGTTTTGGACAGGAAGTTAGTTGTGGAAACACCATATGCTAAGGATATAATAAAATATCACGCTACTTTCCACCAAAGTATCACAACACGTAACTTCTTGAATTCAGTGTTAGGATTTGTAACACCGGTAGGTGAAATTAAATTCTTTTTTTATTTAAAAGCTACTGATATCTACCCTGAGTGGGCTCTCGTTGAGATGTCACTGAAAATCGGCGCTATCTGAATAATAAGTTACCTTAAAAATTTCATCTTTACAGTGGAACAACAAGGGTTATGATGTGGCTAAAACATGGGCACCTAAGTTTAATTATATAGCACCTGTATGGCTACAAGTAAAACGACAGAGTCCTAACATATATATTATTTCCGGGTTACATGATGTTGATCATGCCTGGATGAAAGTAGTCAAGCAAAAAGGGACACCAAGTAATGTTAGAAGTAAGTATTTTTTACATTACAGCTATAAACTTTTGTTTGTTCTGGCCCCAGATTTTTAGAGTGGTTTTAATATAAAAAATATAATGATTTAAGAGGTGGCATAGCTACTAGGGTTCCATTACACAATTTAATACTTTTCCCAGACTACTTACACCGCTGTAATATCTGGAAGATACCAATTAATTTCATTTTTTTTAAAGAAAAATTGTCTTTGTCATTATGTTGCAGTCTAACTGATATTTCTACATAACTGCTGTAATACAATCAGAAATAATACGATATGTAAGAAATTTGCTTTTGAATGTTTTGAATAAGTTTAATTTAAAAACAGCTATTTATCAACAATATTTTCACTTAAAATTATTTTAAATCTAAATTTTCCAATACTTATTTTCCAGTTCTACCAAGACTGCTTTTAGAAAATTGGCAGCTGTCAGATCTAAAGGCATTCTTCAAAGAGCCATCCTCACTATCAGAACAAAAAGCTCTGATTGAAGAAGTCAAGAAAACATGCAAACAGTGGAATTTTGATGGTATAGTGTTAGAAATGCTTTCACAGATTGGAAAGTATGTAGAGAAATCTGTCAAATTTATCCAGCAGTTTGGTGAGATATTGTTAAATAGATTTAACACTTAATCTTTGTTTAGTCACGATGCTTTTGCTTGTTGTCTATTGAAATATTAAAGTGTAAAATTGACATAAATTTATAATTGACCCCATATAGACTATATTATTACCTATTAAATCAATCTATGGCCATGATGATAAAAACAGTTTTTTTTAAGAAACATGACTTCAGGTAGCATCTCACGAAGTAAATTGAATAAAAACAGTCAATCTATTTCCTGTTTCATATAAAGATGCGAATGGATAATGAATATTGCCAGTGAACTGACAAGTATTAATATAAGAAAATAATTCCTATTAACAAACTTTGTAAAACCAATATGATTAATTTATTTTTTAAAAGTACAAAGCTATTTTAAAAAGGATTTATATACTTTATTATACTCATAACAACTTCTTTATTTTATAGGCTTAGAAATGAGTGAAGACGATTTTAAACTGATTCTGGTCTACCCTCCATTCCGAGGCTACCCAACTGATGAGTTCTTTGTTAAAGCATATAATGATATTTATCCATATGTTGAAGCTATTTCTGTGATGACTTATGACTTCTCAAGTACTCAAAAACCAGGTAAACACTATGACAAAAATTTGTAACTTGAAAAAAATATAAAATACTAAAGATAAAAATTGATGATGGAAGCAAATATGATTATTATTTAGCTTACTCTCGATATTATTTTGCATAATGTGTCTGTTTTTAATAGACATAATTCTAATGCTTATTTGAATCTGTTTTGCTGGTAATTTTTTTTCTGCTTAACAAGAAGCGCCTAGTATTTTTATTTTATTTTGTATAATTTTTGTAACATTTACATTTTTACCATCATTAACATCTACCGTGGATTTAGACATATATGATGTGGTAAACTTAAATAAATAAATAAATATGTATTTGTATCTGTCATATCTCTTAAAAGAAAAGTTTCTGCACATATTTAAGCTTCATTTCTTGTTTTTATTATTAAACATTTGGATTGATACAAAAGTGAATAATTTCTTTAAAATTGCAGGACCAAATGCGCCCTTATACTGGATAAGACTGTGTTTAGAGAAATTAATTGAAAATGAAGACAATCCCTCCAAACGATCAAAAATATTACTTGGTTTAAACTTTTATGGAAATTCGTATACTGCTAATGGAGGAGGTCCTATTGTTGGCACAGAATATATAGAGTTATTGAAAAATGCCAAAAATAATCAAATGCTTACATACAATAACAATACAGCTGAGAATTATATTGAGATAAGGTAAGGTTGCCAAACGCGAAAGTATTACACATAAGGAAAGTTAATGCATGTATTGCGGGAGTTTGAACCCCATGATCCCTCACTCCAAAGGCATCATACACGTAAACATTAATTTTTAACAATAATTTTTAATTTTAGGACATTCCAAGGAGCGAAAAAAATATTTTTCCCAACGTTATATTCAATACAGAAACGATTAGATCTCGCCAGGGAGTTGGGTACCGGAGTTGCTGTATGGGAACTAGGCCAGGGGTTGGACTACTTCTATGATTTATTTTAAATGTGATACTATTTTTAGGTTTAATAAATTATGTCCCAATTAAAATGTTTGTTTTTTAAATTATTAAACATAAAAAATACCACATTTTTGTGTTTGTTTAAGAGAGCGATTAAGAGTTTTCTTATTGTTCGTCCAATGTTTAATTAGACTTGACCGGGTTAAAACACTTTTAATTAGCAATTTTAATAACTAATCACCTGAGCCTTAAAGCGACATGACAATAGTTTTCTTAAAGTAAAAAAAAAAATCGACTTTTAAATCACAACGATGCTAAAGAAGTTTTCACTTCAATAATAATGTAATATATATAACGAAACGCATTAAAGGCTAGTACCCCAATTGCGACGGTATCGACAGATCAGTATCATCGGTGGGATTAAGATGTTCTTGTATGATTTTATGTTATATGAAAAGAAAGCGATATTTTCAGAAAAACTAAAAAGTGGAAGGCTAAAATAAGAAATCTAATGTAAAAAAATAAATATCTTTAATAATTTATCCTACAAAATTTAACAATTTTCAGTGTTTTTGTGCTATTTACAAAATATAAGCCTTTGTATTAGATGGCTTGGGGTTTTTTCTTCAACTCCATCATCGATTGAGGGCCTTTCATCACTCGATGCATCAAATCCCAGCACATTTTTGCCGGCAGTAGGCTGAAAAAGTACATTTTATTTATTTTCTTACTATTTCTCACGTGAGTCTCAATAAGAATTAAATATCTTTCAGACAATTAATTTCAGAATACTTATAAAACAATTGCAGAAAGAATTGGCGTGCAATACAAAAATATTACTAATTAGAACCACATAATATAGTTGTTGAGGAAGGATGGTGAACAGTTCTGGCCTTATGGCCTAAAGGTTCCTCGACCAGTCTAATTGACAGTTCGACCCGAAGCCCCCAGTGGCTATTTTTTTTATGGAATTTTACTAGGCTAGGGTTGAGTTGTTGTATATATCCTTAGTTAGCTTTCAGGGTTCGCAGTGATTGTAGCCTTAGAACGTAGGTCGCTACATAGTAATAAGCATATTATACTCCTATGTAATAGTTTCACGAAGTCGTAAAATTCGTAAATTATAATGAACAAAATAATATAATAACTTTATATTTACCACCAGTTTACAAATTAACTGGAAAGAAACTCTTCATTTCGTTTTTTTATGAAAATATTTTTTATTATTAAATATATGAAAAAAAATTTAATAACTCACCATTTAAGAGGTAAAAGATACCTTACAGAGCCAGGCATGATACAGTTAACCTCATTCTTTCGAATTGAGTCGATCATTGTTTCGGCCACATAGTCCGGTTCCAACATAGGCATCAATCGCGGTGTTACTCCATCAAACATCCCAGTATTTATGTAGTATGGACATACTAGAGTTGCATAGATTGAGCTGTGACCATGTGCCTGTAAACATAATTTATATCGATAAGGTTCTACACTCCAGATTATCCTTATTCTTATAGCTACGAGTCGTACATGTTACTTTTTAATTATACATCATATTGCGCTACGAATCTTAATATATATATTTCTTGTGTGCGTGTGTATGTGACTGAACTCCTCCTAAACGACTGGACCGATTTTGATGAAATTTTTTGTGTGTGTTCAAGGGGATCTGGGAATGGTTTAGATTCACAAATCAGCCCGGCAGATGGCACTGCAGTCGGTACTTTCATACTTTGCTTAATATCCTAATCGCTTTAAATATCATGCAGGACAACGTCTGTGGGGTCCACTAGTACGATATATTTTTCTATTCAACATAGAATGTATTTCTAATATCAATTTATTTTATTTAAGAGGAATTTTATTTATAATGTCACCACTGAGTCACCCATCACTTTCAGGATTTCTTACTTAACTCTCTATCTTTCACAAGCTACTAGTTTCTGGTTGTCGAAAGAAATAATTTCCGGGCACTGAAAGCTCAATGACCTTGAAACAATATCAATAGAATTTACACAGAAAATCGCTGCTTCAGGCAATTAATCTTTTAATATTAAACTGAGAGACTAATAGAAGAAGGATGCCTTCGTATTCGATAATAATTGAACGAAAACTTATACGATTAAAGACTTACCCGTAGCTCCGTAAAAAGGCTTTCGTGAAAGCCAACAGTGGCGAATTTTGTAGCGCTGTAGTCTGTACATCGGTAAGTCCCAAGAAGGCCAGCCACTGAGCCAACTGTCACTATATGACCCTTGCCATTTTCTATCATGTCTGGGAGAAAAGCTTTCACAGTCTGAAATAAATCTCCTCTTATTATGGGTCATGGCCAAAGTTAATGCATTATTATTATGTCGTTTTGGAACTCAAAAACCGAGGGTAGTTGTCAAATATTAGGCGCCTTGTAGGTGTAACAATTATGAAATAATTTATTTATTTTTAAATTTAAAATTTTGTTTTTAAATCTTTTGTAGATTGCGTGTTCAGGTAATAAAAGACTTATTTGCTAAGAAATGTTTCACTGACTTTAATGTAATCTCGTTCCACGACTTTGTTTTTAATAATAAATTACATTTTCATTTTATTTCAAATCACCTACAATTCCCTCATATTTTATTGTAAGATAATAAACAATGTTCTTAAACTTACCCAATAATGTGAAAGAATGTTCACTTTGTATGTTCGTTCTATCGCCGCGTCATTTAGCTCTAAAAGTGTTTCTCCGAAGACAACGCCAGCATTATTTATTAAAACATCAACTTTACCCACCTGCGAAAAGCCATGAACAAATTTAAAACGCTGCTTCTGTTATGCTGGACCATAAGGTTAGCTATAAAGCTAATCGTTGTGTAAAACGTTTTGAAAATATTTTTTTTATAATAATTTAGAATTGTACCTCTATATTCTACCATAAGTTTGACAAAGTATTATCTTTACCTCTTTACATGCCTTACACCTTTCTTTTTTATACCTTTTGGTTACGAACAAAAGGTATATAGTAAATTTCTACATATATCAATAAAGGGTAACTAATATGTTTAATAATTATATATTATTTTCTTGTAAGGCCAAAAACATGGATGGATAATTTGTACAGTTATATGAGCATTGGTGTAAAGTATTCCAGTTGTTTGAATATAATGGAAAGGATAACAATTAGCCTTCTTACTTATAAATTATTCATTTATCTTTCATTAAATTTGCCTATATCCTAATCCTACCATGACCTTTGAGCAATTTGTTCTATTTCCTTAGAGGTATCTAGTGGTAATTGTATCATATTACAATCTGCAATCTTATACATTTCAAGTGGCGAAGGCGCTTATTACAACATAGATAACGAAGTGAAGTCATTAATTAGTAAGGTAATTGAAATATATTTTTATCGCTCATCGAAGACCGCAGTATTTGCATATTCTTTTTTTTAAGGAACAGGGGCAAACGGCTAGGAGACTCATCTGATGTTAAGTGATACAGCCGCCCATGGACACTAACAATGCCAGAGGGCTTGCGAGTACGTTGTCAGCCTTTTATGAATCAACTTAATCATCTAAACATGGACAATCGAATGCTTACCTCTCTCTTTACTTTCTGGGCTGATTTATAAACAGCAGCGCGATCCGCCAAGTCAACAACATAGCTTTTCGCTTCATATCCCTCGTCTCTAACTGCAGAACATGTTTTATTTAACGCTGAAATCAAGAAAAGAGTCTCTCAGTTTAATATTGAAAGATTAATTGCCTAAAGCCGTGAATAACACTTAGTTTGTGTCTAGATGTTTTGTATTATGACAAGTGATACCTTACCCTTATTGATTCACCGGAAATGGACTCTTCTAAGGTAAATTTTGCCAGTGCCTAGAGGCGGGTATGCTATGGTTAAACATTGAGTTTGACAAGTATTAAAGCTAAGGCGTAAGATATTTCTATCAAGCAATTTAATTCCACGTGTAGCCGCTAGAGGCGCTGCAACACTTTTTAATAGAATGCTAAAAGCCTGTAGGAGCACAAATGTATACTAAACTTCCGTTCACCGTAAAAGAGGTTTTTAATCAATTATAAATAAGTATCTAATTTTTGTATTGCATTAAAACGATTGACGTTACCATCAATATTTAGTTATTGATGATACTAAAATGGAATCTTTATATAAATAATATATCCTATTGCACCTTGCTTAATGCTTTTATAACAACGTTGTTTTGTAAATTGCGAATTGTTATTCTGTATGCTAATAGTCTCTTGAATGTCTAATGAATATTAATTAGCTTCTTATATAAGATACCTCTCATTACGAAAATTGTTGTTGGAGTAATTGAAGATTTTTTTTATGTTATCTTAATTATCTACCTCATCATTATACTAAGCAAATTTTGGAGATATTTTCATTCAATTACAAAATAATACTTATTTATTTTTGGTAGTCTGTTATCTTGTTTGGTATATCTAAAGTTTTATGATATCTTCTGAAAGGTAGGTTCTACATAATTTTTCATATGATGAGCAAAAAGGTCGCATATTCTGTTCTACGACTAACTCTGTTCTAGAACCTGTCTTAACAAATTAAAACCATAAATTAACACCATAAAATAGTTAAGAGAGATTACACTTTAAAGAAGGTAGAATTGATTTGAGTGTAGATACGACAAAATTCTGTTGTTCAAATTCAACCTTTGTGTTGAATTTTGTAGAAGTGATTTTCTTCAAATTATTCAGAAAACACCATCAAAAATGTGAGGTTTTGTAAGGTACTCTCTTGTATAATTACTTACGTATTTCCGGCACGCACTGTTTCTATACGCTTAATTAAACGTAATTATTTCCATACATTTTACCTGCGCATTTTGCAAAAGATAAATAGATATGCCTAGTAACTTGTAGTGTGTAAAACTAGCCCCCGATTTTTACGTGAAATATATTATTGTTAATTGGAATAAATTTATTAATCACCTGGTTAATTCCTATATATTCTTCTCTTCCGTTCTACGCCCTTGATTTGAGAACTGGCAGTAAATGTAAAATCAGAAGCATTTAATACATATTTATTTTTTGACGTTTATAAGTGTACATAGTGTTACCTATATGAATAAATGATTTTGTTTTGAAGTTATACTTCTTTAGGCGCGTTATGAAAAATTGATAAGTGAAATTTTACGATGCGCGCACACCGTGACACAAAATTAACAGAATGAAGTTGCCCACGGAAGATGCTACGGCATTGGACATAATTTAAAAACAACATTGGAATAATAATATAATTTATGTTACACTTAATGTAAGAGAATTATAATAAATATTTATTTATTTAATTTTTCTAATGTAAACTGAACTTTATTGACTATAAAGACTCCTTTTCCAGTCTTTGATTATTTAATTGTAATTAATTATTTGCATGCAACCTAAAACTATTTTTAATAATGCCAAAGAAGTATAACTTCTTACGCGCGTACATAAGTACACGCACCCTTTTTTTTGATAAAGAATAACTGTATAAAACTTATCTTACCATCCTCATTAACATCCCATATGACCACTTTAGCCCCAAGTCTTGCAAGTCGAATCGCCAATCGCCTTCCAACTCCACCTCCCCCTCCAGTAACCAGCACAATATCCCCTTTTAAGCTCTTCATAGGCCTAAAGGCGTTGGGAACTAGAGTCCAGAACAGTGACTCTAGTATATAATAAAACGACAGCACGAGGAACAGAACAGTATCTTTGGCTATGTCGAAAATACTTGAGACCTGCGACTGTGTCTTCATTTTGCGATCTTCTAACATCCTGCAAATATATTGCTGCTATATATATGTATATATGAACAAACAGAAATTCTATGATATATTTAAATCAAGACTAGATTATCAACGTTGTGTAGTTTAAGTAGGTGTATAATAATATTAGTGGCGTTATAATAATATATATAGCGACGGTTAAATACGCATCTCCTGGTCTGGCGCGCCCTTCAATAGGCCACAACATCTCAGATAAAATCGAGTGGGATTGTGACCAAAGGTCTGTATAAAAAAACTCATGGACTTTGGTATATGATTCCCGAGCTATAGGCAATATATGGGTGTTCAGTCTTTTATGTCTGACATAGTACGTCGATTAATGTATCTGACACCCACGACGGTTTCCTTAACTGTACGAGAAATTGTTAAGTTTGCGAAATTGTTTGTCCCACTGGAGTTCAAAACAACAACAACAAGGACAAAATATATATAAATATGATACTATAATTGGATTTACAATTAACATATCCATTGGATATTTACAGCTATATTTTTGGAAAGGTAGTTTAAATAAAGCGTAATGACTATAAAATTTAGGTCTAGTTGCGTAAGGTCAGCCACAGCCGTCTCGAATACTAATTTGGACCTAGATCCAAAGTTTTTAGATCGGCGTTGTGACGGTTTTAAGATTAAGTAGGTATTTTACTCCCTTTTGATTACGGCCTTTGTTATAAAATACTTCTTATATACGAGAGTTTTGAGTAGAGATATTTTCAAAAATAACCAATATTAAGTACTACTAATCCCAATCCAAATTCTTCGAATTTTATGGACGCATGTAAGTTATACTTAGTAGGTAAAACAGCGAAATAACGAGGTACTCGGCAATAAATAAAAAATTAATGAAGATTAACATCTAAGCTCCAGGAAAAAAAGGAAACTATCACATTCCAAATCACCATCTGAAGATAAACAGCAACACAAGGATGACATATTAGCTCCCAAGAAAATCAACAAATCCTATAACCGCTTCAGAGGAAATTCAACGTCAGGACCTGGAGAATCTAGTAACTATAAAACAAAACAATACACAGCATACCGGAAAACAAAGAAAATACAAAAATAATTACCACGCTAGCAAAACACTGCCCGTGGGGAAAGCCACCACCACCCTTATTTACATATGAATAACGAAGAACAGGACAATAATAAAAAAAATACGTAAGATCCCTATCATTCAAAACAAGACAATTAGATCTGAACGGTGCGTTGAGAAAAATCAGAGGAAAAAAAGGGAAATGGAAAATATGGCGGAGCTTTTACCCTAAAAGGGGCCATACAATACTAGACCCTATACCCTGGAGTAAATAAATTAGTGCGAGATGTCTACACTATGAGCAAAAACATTGGTTCTGGGTAGTGGAATTTTGAAGGAATCAGGTATATTACAATATATTGCACGGCGCGAATACCTTCTGCAGGAGTGTGGCGAGAGTGTACCGACAGACCCTTCTTTGAGATGCCAGTTATGAACACAGATATATTAGTTAATAGGTTTTGGAATACAGTTTAAATACTGTAAAAGAATTGAAATCATTTACAACGAATTAAAAAAATCCTAAAAATAATGAGATACTTGGTACTATACTATTGCTTCATACATAAAAAGTAATTATTGATTGAAAAAGAAAATGTTTTTTATATTGTAGTAATGTACGGTTTAATATAATATTTTTAGATTAGTCATGCTCTTCTCCCTAAGACTTAAAGAGACTTAATTATACAAAAAAAGCTGAAACTGAATAACAAAGCTAGCTACTAGATATAAGAAAACTACGTTTAGTGACATTTATGTGTATTAATTTATCAATAAATTTATGGTTGATGTTTCTATATGTAATTGCCAACACTGCACCTCGTAGTGCCAGTGTTGGCCTAGTGGTTTAAGAATGCGACTCTCATCCTTGAGGTCGTACCATCGAATCCGAGCTGTGCACCAATGGACCATCAGCCTATCTGCGTATTTAACACTCGTTCACACTATGAAGGAGAACATTGTGAGGAAACCGGCATACCTTAGACACAAAAAGTCGCGGGCACATAAGGCTGATCACCTTCTCAGCTATTCCTAACAATAATCACGAAACAGATACAGGTGACGCCGAACTAAAAGGTTGTAGCGACACAGTTTTTTAATGTATTATGTAATCTGTATCATTATAGCTATATTTGTATATATTAACTGTTTTAAATAATTGAGTAGAGGTGATTACCTACTTTAATATCCATCGTGCTTTATGTGTAGAAAATACAATTAAAAACAAATTAATTAACAAAGATTAATAATTTAATCATGCTTATTAATATATTAAAATACATACCTGTTATTATATATGGAACATATAAAATATAATTTCACAATTGACAACTTCTTAAATGCACTACAAATGCAGGTTTTAAACGTGCGCGCGCGCCGGTTGGCCTACAACTGTGTTCTACTCTGGGCTTTCACCTTCGCTAACGGTAAAAAATTTCCATCTAATATACTTCCCATATTAACAGCTTGTTTACTTGTTTTTTTTAAACCCAATGGAGAATTGGCACACTGTCAATGGTGCAAATTGATGATTTTGTTAAACTCTCATAGAGAGTACAGAATATCTAAAATATATTTAACAAACATTTAGTACCTTGTAAGTAAGTGCTACATATAATATATTTTTTCTAATTAAAAGTTTAAATGGAAAATGGGTCGATCAAGAATTCGAATGCTGGTAAAATTTGATTTGGAAATGGGACTTTCTTTATTATGAATATCAGTAAAACAGAACACAAAAATATGTCATGAAATATTCAGGGTACTGGTGTCATTTATACGATACATATTGCAATTATTCCATACAAGAATAAATATTTATATCAAACTAACTAACAACTACTTTTAAATTATCCTTTCACCTACACATACAACTCAAGTGTTAAGAGTGTGTAGAATAAAAAATATATATTAAATTTTACAGCTCTCTTTAATATATATACTGCCCACTGATATGTTGTTCGACAACCTCAATACTTCTTATGGGTAAATAAAAATTATAACAGTACAATTAATAATGTTTTTTTAAATAAACCTTCTTTGCTCAAAACAAGCAAACTTTGAATCAAATTAAAAACGCTCTTTAAATTTGTGGAAAAAACATCAAATAATATACAAGGTTAAAAATAAATTATTGTGTAACAGCTTGCTAGTTTTAAGTTTAAATTTTATTGGAGCCTATCGCCCTCTCTTGGCATTTAAAAGTAGTATTACTTTAAACAGAAAGTGCAATACTTGTGTTCAGGTAACACTAATTTTGTTGGAACGCCATCTATGAGCCGAATAATATATTTTATCGTAAGTTGTAGATGGCACTTTAATGAATCTTAAAGATAATGTTTTATAGCTGGAGAGCTAGTGAACCCTGGGAGTAACGGTCTCCCTGTAAGGTTAGAAATTTGTATACTTACGATTTATGACATGCTAAGAGCAATAGCCATGACCTGGCAGGCGTCAGCCCTGCACGTCATCAGCCCCTTTTTTTTGGACTGTTAAGTAAATTGAGTTTCAAAACTTGTTTCTGTAAATTTGAAAATTTTATAGGATAAAGTTTATTTATTGTACATCTTAAAAAAAAATTGACAGGCGATTACAATAAGCAGAAGTATATGACAGATCAATTAGAAAACGTACAGTTGATGAGTTAAAATAAACTTTATCCTGTATACTTAAAATTTTTATATGTTTTCAAGTAAACGTCTCAGAGTAAATATGTACAATGCCAGGCGGTTTTGAACAGCATAAGACCTTGACAGGCGAGGGGACAGCTGCTGCAGCGGCGTGCAAATAAGAAATGTTACATGAACGCATACAGTAAATGCAATGTATTTTATTGGGTTTTATGCAATCTACATTATTTTTAACATTCATTTTCTTCAGCATCATCCGAAATTTCGCTATCACTGTTTTCATCATCATCTGATTCTTCAACAATGTTTTCCTCATCTGAAAATAGTAAAAAAAAATATTTTAATGAATCAATAAGGTTGTTAAGAATTAAATATCAAGCTCAATTACATAGGACTGCGTATTAAATGTTACGGAATAAAATAGTTGTATGTTACCTGAAATGCATTCCTCAGTTTCAGTCGATTGTGCTGTGGCAGTATCAGCAGGTCCTTGTAAAAGTATGTCGTATATAGAAGATGGAACCGTATTCCCCTCAAACCAATTAAATTCGTAACGACTATCAATTAAGTTCCAACCGTTATTTTCAGGTGTAAGAATTGTTGGTTCTTTTAAATTACAATTTCGCCATATATTTGTAATGTAGGCAGTTCTCAATAATTGTTGATGTAGTTCACGTTTGCAGGGTGGTAAATTCGATGAATCATAGCTTACTACTTTTTTCATAAACACTTTAGGATTATTTGTGTTGTACGTAGCAAGGAACTTTTCATAACGTGCATTATTTAACTTTGAACATTTCAAACCATACATTTGGCATACAAATTTCTCTAGTATCGGGAAAATTTTTTCTTTCTTCTGTACTATTTCTGCGTTTCCTAATTCTTTGAATGCCTTCTGATATACACTCGATTTCTGCAATATTTGGAATGGTTTTTTTTACCTCTTCTTGAAAAGGACGGATTGAAATCGCAACCGGTTAATGCATGAAATGCCGGTAAGCTTTGGCATATAGAAGGTCCCAATTTTGTATATAGTTCAGAAATATTTATCCATTTTTTACAATGATTAGTGCCATATTCCATATAGATTTTTAAATTATTATTGTGGAGATGGTCCATGTTTCCGAGCAGTAATATTAAAATGTCTGTGTCACATGTTTTTATTAATACGTCGGATACATCTTCATCCATTTGGCATGTATGGTATATTATTTTTGTATCAGCCTCTTCATGATGTTGGCACGATAAATCATCATTTATATCGACAATCACAGAGTTATTTTGGACACTATAAGTATGGCATTGTTTGTAATTTAAGTTTA